TTAAATCCTGTTTTATACACAATACCCAACAGCCCAGCTCCCAGCCGTTCAAAATTTTGGAGATACTGGTTCAAACTGAGGGTGAAAGTGTTGAAATATATGGGCTATTGTCTTAAGATAACTGAGGCTATAGCACCTCTTTCAAAATGCTACTGCTGAAGGAAAGGTCTCAAGGGTGCTTTCCCCCTTCCCCCCCCACCCCCCTGTATTTCTGGCAGGTGATTGAACATGAAATCTAAGTGAAAGAGCTGCACAGCATACTGAAAATGGCTTTCAAGAGAAACTTCCATAATGCACCAGATATTCAATGTATATTACAAACAAAATCAGCTTTTTAATCTGCAAAACAAGTGACTGTTGTGATCCAGAACAAGTAATGCAAACCAAAAGTATTTAAAGCTATTGCTCAGAAGAACAAATGGAGGCATGCATCTGGCCACAAAAGCTTTTAGGCTTACGGGCAAATAAGTTACCTGCTTGGCATAAACATATTCTCCAGGACTTTCTGATACTTTACAAAATTACCAACCTTCTCAGGCATGTCTCTAATTTTAGCATCCAGTCTACTTTTAAAAATTCAGAAACTGCTTTTATAGACAATTATTGTTGTTTTCTTTATCTAGATGGCAGCCTTATCTTCTGGTCTTTAAGCAGTTATTAATACTTTGTCAGATTCAGGATAAAGGAGAAAAGGTGGAAAAAACCTCTTAAAATGAAAGACACAAATTTAAAATGGTTCATGGTTGTATTCTAGAAATTAAGGTTGTAAATCAGTTACTTGAAAATCCAGCACCAAGCTACAAGCCCTTAATACAACTTCTTCATATATTTGTTTGGGGTTTTGTTTATATTTTTGTTTGTTTATTACTGTTATTACTTTAGCCTTTTTTTTTTAACTTACCTGCTTTCTCTTAGCATCTCCAAGGCATTGAAAAGGACAAACACTAATCTCTCGAACCCCTCTTTGCTTTAACAAAGCTTTTAGCCTTCCCTCCCTTCTTTGTTTTCTTTACCTTTCTTTCCCATCCCTCTCCGAAAAATTCACCACTCCTGTTTGACTGTCTTGGTCGAGCTGCAGTAGGACATGCAATCACTGTGACTTAACAGACAAAATCTTTGAATTTTCCAGCTGTACCTGTGTTTCATTATACCAGGCATGTACCTCCTGTTACAAAATATATGTAGCAATAAAATGAGAGATATTTCAAGCTTTTACCTTTCTCATTCCTGACAGAATTCTTTTGTCCATTTTAGCAGAGTAGCCTAGTGGATAAATACAAATGTTATATTCTGTCTAATATACTTTCTAGGTTTTTGTTCTTGCTAATGACTGGGGGTTAGTAAATTATTAAAATTTTTTATTTTTATTTTTTTTGCATTTTGGCCACCGTTTCCTTGGAATCAAGAGAGTAGGACCTTAGGCCTTTTCTAAGGCTGCTTCTAACAGTCTGCTGCATGCTGATTCTCCCTGATTGGTCCAAGTGTGTCAGTTTGGCAGTGTTCCCAGTCAGCCCCAACATTACTGCATTCCCAGAGTCGAATCTTGGTTAGCACAAAGCATTGACAAATCCAGTGTATTTAATCAAGAGAGTAGGACCTTAGGCCTTTTCTAAGGCTGCTTCTAACAGTCTGCTGCATGCTGATTCTCCCTGATTGGTCCAAGTGTGTCAGTTTGGCAGTGTTCCCAGTCAGCCCCAACATTACTGCATTCCCAGAGTCGAATCTTGGTTAGCACAAAGCATTGACAAATCCAGTGTATTTAGTTGTGCACCTTCGCTGTACTTCACAGGGATTAGGATTATGGGGTTTTTTAATAGAATAAAATGAGAGTAAATCAGTCAAACAATGAGTATAAATGTTAATGACTGACAATCCTCACAGCCACTGCATGGAGGAATAAAAAAATGTATATTGGGGAGTGATATCTCGGAGTGGCATAGGCCAATTAAAAAGCAACCTATTTTGAATGGTTTGAATTGTTAGCACTGATGCAAGTATGCACTTGAATGTCATGCATTTCCAGTGTGTTCTTGCTGCTGTAGTGGGCTACACTGTTCCCTTTATAGCAGCATTCTTTCTAGTTTCTGCTACATTCCTAAAACAGAATAAACTGCCAGTGTAATCCATGAGTCTTCCTGCTCCCTGCCCTGAAAAACGTTGCCAAAACTAAAAAGGGAAAGTGCTTCCAGCAGGGACTCCAGAATTACTTATGAGAATTTATACTCTAGGCTGTTAATCTGCTGCTGCAGCCTAAAACACAAGAAACCTAAGCACAGTGATAGGGTGGCTTGGCAGTTTTCCTGCAACAATGATGTCTCAAGAAAGAATCTGAATGCAGTACGGGACAATGCAGAGCAGGATTATTAATTTTACTGAGTTGCATAGTTGTGAGTCATGGCTCTCAAGCAGAGAGGTTTATGTGGTAAAGTAGTTGTATTATGAAAGGTGCTGGTTGGAGCTTTGGGAGGGTAACAGTTTTATTTGTGGCGATTGTTTCTGGGATCATTAACACTTGAGTAAAGGTAGAGTGCATATTCTGTTTGCAGCCGGCCTTGATTTATGGGAGAGGGCTTTCTATAATCTGTTTTGCGCCGTTCTTGATCTCGCATGCTTTATTGGAAGGATGTTTATTTTGCTTTGGGTATTTTAGATCATTATTTAGTGACTATTCTTTTAATATGAAACCTCTTCCTTTACAGTTTTCTTTGTTTTTTTTTTTTTTTTTTTAATAAATAACCCTTTGCCAATATGCAGTATGCTTCAGAAACACCTTTTCATCTGTTCTTTCCATTTTTATTTGTTCACGGTTCCAGAATGATAATGCTGAGCTACCTAATACAGATGCAAGATTTTTAACAAAAATGTAAAGGATTTTTGTGGCCTTTGTAAATATATTTGATCTTTAAATTCTTCATCTGGACTTCAGGTTTTCTTCCTTCCTGGCAAAGCAATAAATCCTCCCACTTTCACTGCATTAGGGAAGAGAACTGAATCCCATTTTTTAATCAAATGCTTGGGAATTGGCCCAGGATCAAACTGGTTGCTTACGTGCCGTTTTATCATTTTGTTTCATTTGCAGAATTTCAGTGAAAGATAAAGCATAAACATCTGAATAGCTGTGTTCGTGTTTTTGTGAAAGCAGATAGTTAACTTGCCACGTAGGACGTCTTTTTAGGGCCTGTAGTGTATCTTAAAAAGTACCAAGTCCTACAGGGTTAATAGACAGGGTTTTCCTGCAACAATGATGTCTCAAGAAAGAATCTGAATGCAGTACGGGACAATGCAGAGCAGGATTATTAATTTTACTGAGTTGCATAGTTGTGAGTCATGGCTCTCAAGCAGAGAGGTTTATGTGGTAAAGTAGTTGTATTATGAAAGGTGCTGGTTGGAGCTTTGGGAGGGTAACAGTTTTATTTGTGGCGATTGTTTCTGGGATCATTAACACTTGAGTAAAGGTAGAGTGCATATTCTGTTTGCAGCCGGCCTTGATTTATGGGAGAGGGCTTTCTATAATCTGTTTTGCGCCGTTCTTGATCTCGCATGCTTTATTGGAAGGATGTTTATTTTGCTTTGGGTATTTTAGATCATTATTTAGTGACTATTCTTTTAATATGAAACCTCTTCCTTTACAGTTTTCTTTGTTTTTTTTTTTTTTTTTTTTTAATAAATAACCCTTTGCCAATATGCAGTATGCTTCAGAAACACCTTTTCATCTGTTCTTTCCATTTTTATTTGTTCACGGTTCCAGAATGATAATGCTGAGCTACCTAATACAGATGCAAGATTTTTAACAAAAATGTAAAGGATTTTTGTGGCCTTTGTAAATATATTTGATCTTTAAATTCTTCATCTGGACTTCAGGTTTTCTTCCTTCCTGGCAAAGCAATAAATCCTCCCACTTTCACTGCATTAGGGAAGAGAACTGAATCCCATTTTTTAATCAAATGCTTGGGAATTGGCCCAGGATCAAACTGGTTGCTTACGTGCCGTTTTATCATTTTGTTTCATTTGCAGAATTTCAGTGAAAGATAAAGCATAAACATCTGAATAGCTGTGTTCGTGTTTTTGTGAAAGCAGATAGTTAACTTGCCACGTAGGACGTCTTTTTAGGGCCTGTAGTGTATCTTAAAAAGTACCAAGTCCTACAGGGTTAATAGACAGGAAACTGCAGCTGCAGCCGACTAATACGGAAGTCAGATTTTTGTGTAACAGCCTGAGCAGGCCGAAAGGTGGGGGCCGGGGGGAGGGGAGGAGGGAACTGGAGAATACAGTCTCTGGGGTGTTACTGATATTTTTGGTTAAGCTCTGCAGCGTTTTTATAAACAGGGAGGGCATGCACTGAGTGACAGCCACCCTCTGTGATAATGCAGTTTCAACTGTACAATAGTTTTTGTGCAAATGAGACATTAAGCTTTTCCTATTTATGGCTTGACTTATAGTATTGAAAGAAATCACACTGTCAGTGTATGCTCTGGTAGGTGTTAATGTATTTAAATTCTAGAACAGGAGAATTCAGAATTTTCAGTTACCACTTTCAGTCCCTCCTGTGCATGTTCACTTTCAGTATGTTTTGCTCTCCCTCCGTAGCCTTGCTTTCTTCATGCAGCACATTGCAAACTATCAGCAAAGTGAATTTAGCTTTTTGTTCATAAAGAATTGCTTGTGACCTGGGTGAACTCTTCCTCCTTGAGGTTTAAAATACCCAAATGCTTTCAGTTATAGCACGTTGAGACACATTTGCTCTGGCAGGCAGTTTGCGATCACTTCCCTCTGCTTGAAAATCTGTGTATTTTATACCGGGAGGGCACATTTGGGGTTCCTTTTCAAGTTTCTTTTGCTGAAACGGGCCTAGCTTAGCCTGTCTTCTCTACGCACAGGATGGCTCCTGCTTGCCAGAGCTGCACAAAGATAATCGCTCAGGAAGTGTTTCAGCCAATCCCCTGAAGCTTTACATTCAGATTTACCAAAGTAGCCAATCCGGGATTAGCTTTTATTAGGAAGACAGATCATCAAGCTGAAGTGCCAAGCCCTTTCTGCCTGAGTACTGAGAGCCTGTCCTCCATGTTTTATAAGTATTGACATAACACTGTGTTAACAATGCATCCACAGAGGTAAGCCTTACTTTTTAAATTTTTTTTTCTCTAAGACCTATGAGTTGTGGGTTAAGAGTGTGATTCTCTGTGATTTGTTGTGCAAAACTCACACCACAGCACTTTATTAAGTTGGAACTGTTTAAATTTGCTTTCTTGGGTCACATGGTTAGTAGCCATTAGCCACAGCTTTATTTTGCAGACTGGCAAAACCTTGGCAAACCTACTTCTTCACAGGAGGATGGTGTTTTTAGAGTTTATCAAGATCCTGGTATTCCAAAGAAGCTTTCTCTCTCTGAGCAGTTTGCCAGCACTATTGTCTGTTGTGTCACATGCCTGCTGAAGAGAAAATGGAAGCTAGGGAGCAGATGCATTTAACTGCCCTACAGGGAGTCAAGCAGGGATAATGGCAGACAGAAGAACAGGCAAGTTTACCTTTCTAAACAGTGAATGGAATAGCTAAGATAAGTTATCTCTGAGAAAATATGGGATTTTTAAAAACCTGGACATTAGCAAAAAGTGCTAATGGCAGATTGTAGATATTGGGCCTAGGTGGTGGTGTGCTGTTGCATCATGTTTTTTATGCAGCTTATCTGAACTTAAAATTATTCTTGAACCTTTTTTCTTTTGCAGGAGTAATTAATGCAATGTATTTCTCTTTCTGAGGGACAGTGTATGGTTAATATTTTGTTCCTTTAAAAGGGAGTTTTTATGCTGCAGATTTTGGAAATGGATTGCTGCTCAATAAAATGCAGCAGTACATCTGTTTACAAATGTGACTCTTTATGGAAAATGTTTTTGAACTGTTAGCTTTCTTGTTTTACGTAGTTCAAATAAAATAATGTACCTTTTATCAGTGCCTTTTTGTTTTACACTGTATCAGCCACAGTTCTGTGTTGTGGAGTCCAGAGGATATAAAATCATGTGTGGTTCATGACAGTAGTACATGTTGTTCGTTCTTGGTTTTTTTCCGGTTTTGTTTTTTCTTTTTTTTTTTTTTCCTAAACTTTTGGTTTAATGCTACGTAATTATTTCAAGAAATTCCTTTTTGATCAATTCCCAAATCTGCCAGCCTGTTGTATCTTCTTAACTGGAAAAATGAGATGGGTGCTTGAACAGTTGGTAAGTAAGCAGCATGCTACTCTCTGAACATTTTACATAGTTTTCCAAACATTTTGTTTTTACTGGGTTGGTTAGCCCAGTAGATGAAGTAATGTTAGTGGTTAGTCAGATAAAAAAATCGGATTTGCTTAGCGTCCATTTTGAGAGATTTGTACATGTAAACTGTTCTAATTTGAATGCACTTAGCTTTTTTATAAATTACCTCTAAAATTTGAAACTTATACTTCCCGTTTACCTCAGGCCAGTGAAAAGTATTATAGTTGCTGTTTGTTCAAAGGTCATTAATTGCCGTGTTTGCAGGGTAAAGCGCATTTTCGTTGTTCCTTAGGCTTTTGAGGTGTGATGAAAGTGCTAGTACTCAGCAATGAAGTGACCTTATGAAGTAAATAATGCTCAATGAGCATATGTTTCTGATACTATACAAAATATAATCTCAGACAAACTTGCTTGATTTATAACTAATTTAGAACATTTTGTGCTCTTTATTAAGATATTAATGGTAGTGCTTGCATGCTTGTTTTAACAAGTTGTTTTTCAGTGATAACCAGTATTGTTACAAAAGCAGAGAAAAGATGGTCTTTTGCGCTTTTAATATAATTTTTCACTTGTTTTAGCAGTCCACACACAGTCATGATTGTAAGAAAGAACTTTGAGCTAAGCTAGTTTTGCTAATGACTGCACCGAGGCACAGTTACATGCTAACTTTTACAGAAGGTTGCCACGTATTTGATAACATTCTGGAACATAGCAATTTACCTCTGGTTACTTGTTTGCCAGTATGAGTATCTTATTTTGAATATCTCACTTTGCTTAAAAGGGCCACCCCCCCCAAGCTGTCCCCTCTACCCCCCCCTACCCCCCACTCCCGCCTCGGATTAGATTATAAGAATGTCTAGTTCAGTTTGCAGCCTGAAACAAGCACTGCTGGGTTGTACCATTGAGTTTAATGTGATAGAATTTTTGGATGCAATTTTAATGCATTTTTCAGCATACATACAAGTGCTAACACAGTTAAGAAGTTATTCTGGTTTCTGTTCTTCGGTTGTTAAAAACAGAAATTACATTTGGACATAATTTTCCTAGCAGTATACACATTAGCTGTTTACTTTCAGTCTTAAATAGTGTGTAACATAAAATTTGCTTAATATGAGGAAGCAGGAGCAAGTGATCTGCAATCAGAAAGCTTGTGTTAAAATGGCTCCCACAGGTTTTGTTAAGCTAGGATCTGTTTCAGATCTGTACCTCCAGACACTGCTGACAGTGAAGCATATTTGTATAAGCTGCCCTTGTGCATGTAATGAAACATAGCATCGTGGGTCTGTTAAAGTTCACTATTTTTGATCACTCAAATATAATTCTTTTATAGTTCACAAAAAATAAATGCCTGCATTGCAGCAAGATGTCTGAGGTAAGGTAGGGACAACAGTGTTGTTTTACAGATCAGCCCAATCGCGCTGCTCCAAGGGGTACTTGAGCCAATAGAAGCAGAGGGTAGGTTAAAGATTGACAATTGCAGTGGCAAGACTGAGAAAGGCCTTCTGGAAATTTCTACCATCTTTGTTCCATCTAAGCAAAGCAAATTCAGCCAAGCTGAAGAATTTCATATATTTTTGGTGCTTTGTCAAGGTATGATGTTATCACTCACTTTTATAGATTGCATAATAAGAAGCACTCTGGGCCTTTTTTTTTACTGTTAAGGACAAATGGAATGTGGGGGTTTGTTTAAGTGACAGACACAGGGAAAAATGACATACCTTATATATTCTCTCCACCCAAGGTTTTACAGGACTGGATCTTGTTAATATCACAATTAGACGGGATGCATATGAAGCAATGGAGCTGAGGTTTATTCAGCTTGTAGCAAATGGCCATGATTCTCATGTAACTAGCAGTTAATTGTATAATTGCACTTTAAGTTTTCTGGCTACTGAAGAGTAATTTGAATTGCCCAGGATGAATATGATTAGCCATTGTTATTTAGTGCTAACATCCAGTTACTTTTGTAATTAGCTGGACAAAGAACGCAATGGGGGAAAACAAAGGAGTGATTTGGATTGTAAATGATGAAAAGAGTAGCTTTTTAAAAGCTACATGCCTCTTTCATTCTTTAGAATCAAACTGTTGGAAGCTAAATAGTGCTAGGTAAAAGAGGTTTCTTTTAACAAATGACACTACTTAACATACTGAGAATGGAAAGAATGTAGAGTTTAAATCACTCCAAATGTGACATTTCCCCCCTTCACATCAGGCAGGAGTATTGAAATGCAGGGGAAACCCTACATTTCTACTAAGCAAGCAAGTAATAAAATGAACTTCATGCTCAAAAATCATAAATAGGTTGATTACATTGCAAATTTAGCAGTTAATATCAATATCCACAAACTCTGATTGGCTCATCTTCCTGAGCTGTCTTCCATTTTGTGAAACCACTTTACCTTTTTTTTTCCTTTTTTCTTTTTTGCTTCATTTTCAAGTATATTGGCTGTGTGGATTCAGTTGCTGAGAAGTTATATAGGTCATGGTCAGTTTTCCATTGTAATGGTGCCACTCTAGAATAATTGGTTAAAGGGTGGTAAAGCTCAGTAAAAGCCCTCCTCTGTCTATAATTCAGGATATTAATTGGAATCTCCTAATTATCTTGGAAGTTGAACATAACCTTTGCCCATGTGGAATGTATTATACAGCGATTTTCTTTTTTTTTTTTTTTTTTTTGGTGGATCCCTAGTATTTTCCCCATGAGCACATGAATCCCATTATAGTGAATTTAAGCCTGTTAGACTAGGTTTGATATACTTAGTTATTGTCTGCAGACCCCTTAGTAGTACACTGGATTTGAGGGGTCTGTAAACCAGTGTCTGAAAACTCTTGTAGTGGACCGTCAAGCTTGGCCCTTTATATTGTATGTAGAAAGTATTTAAAATGTATTTATTAATAAACATGTCTTGTATAGGTGGATTAAAGTCCAGTTTAGAAATAGCTACAGAGGAACTGAGTTTTATTTATTTGACAGAAGTTGTCTGTCATTCTTATGTTAACCCTTTATTGCCAATTGTCATAGCATCTTTTTAATGGTGAGGTTAAAACCATGCTGTAGCAGCATGTTAGTGTCCTTAATTTAGCCAATATAAACCTTTACATTCAAGGATGATCTTAAATTATTTTTTTAGCATGCAAAATCTATAGTTCTTCTGGTTGCCTTGCCTGGGCCTCAGCTGTATACTTACAGTTTTAAAGACAGTATGACACCAAGAATCTCCCCCTCTCCCCTGATTTTCTCTTTTGTGAAGGTATTTTGAATGCATACTGAATAAGAGTAAAGTTTTTAAAAAGCACCTAAATGTTCTATATATTAAATAAATATGTATTTACTGCTTGTTTTTGGAGGTAGCTAACTTAAACACTACTGTATGTAAATATCTGAGCAAGCGTATTGTGTACGTTAATTGCTTAATATAAACTGAGCATTTTGCAGGGAGTTTTGCAAAAGGAAAATTTAAAGTATGAAGTGCTCAAACTGGAGAGTGAATCTAAAATTGAGTGATTTCCCTAGTAACCTGTGACTTCACAAACTTTCTATCTTGTGCCTTCTTAGTTAAACATTTGGATGTCAGGTGTCCTTTTGTCACACTTTACCATTTCTGATATTTAAATGCTTGCTTCATATGTAGCACTGCTGTTTAAACAAGAGATACTGTTATTGAATAAACTTGCTACCATTTTAGCTACAGTACAGGAGTGAGGCAGTGCAGTGCTGTCAGACGCCATTTTAAGAATCCTGCATAAATAGCATAGCTACCGATGAGTAAGAGACTGTTATAGGTGAGTGCTTATACAAAGCTGCTATTTATTCAGCAATGGCATGCAAATATGTTTTTCAGGTTTTTATTGAATGCAGTTCTTTGAAATAATTATTTAGAATTGCTGCTCACAAATGTGGTATAGGAGAGGCAGGAATTATAAGGATGACATTCAGTTTTAGTGCTTATAATCTTAAAACAGTTTTTTTAAATTTTGTTTTCTATTAGTTAAAAGGAAAAATGGATTCCTTAAACATATAGTTCTTGATTTTAAATTATTGTCTGTTCCCTAATGTAGATCTAGATTGTGTATCTGGGCATTAGCTGTTTTGAGTGGTTTTCCATATCTGTCAGTTTTTCTTGGTTAAATGTCAGGGTGCAGTAGTTCATCTGCAACTTTTAATTGCTCATTTGTACTTAATATAGGCTAGAGCAGCTTTAAATACTTTTGTATATGTACTTTTTTTTTCTGGTAAGTATTACTACTAGTACAAGAATGATTTATCCTAAACAGAAAAGTCAGCATTTTATTTGAAATTTGAAAAACTGCATTTCATATAAGAAACCCACCTTCTCTTCAGTTTAATAGAGAACATATTTTAAAATTAGGCTGCCAAGTTATTTTTGCATTTTTGCCTAAGCATCAGTAAATCTTGCATGATTGCAATCCTTATTTTTTTTTTTCTTTCTATTCCCAAGTATCCCCAAAGGAATAACATTTTCTCCCCTCGTTCAGACATATTAAACTAATTTGTATGAAACAAATTTGTTTAACATTTTAGAAAACTATTACTTTTTTTGTTTGTTTGTTTGTAAGTTGTGTCAATATGAGTAAGGAAGTTTTAAATGATTATTTGGTGTTCTACTCAACTGACACTTGAAACTGGCAAAACCTGAATTTCAATTGTGTTCTTAAAATACGTTCCTCTATATTCATTCATCTTATTGAGAAAAGGAAAGTAGCTTTCAGAATGACAGTGTATTTATTGTATTCATCTACTTAAGGATATAGCAGCATAGTTTCTGATCTGCAGCCTCAGAGCATCACATTCATAGCACACATGCATGATAGTAATACATACTGTCTAAAATAACAGCTCTAAGCCCTGCAAAAAAATGAATTCTCAAATCAAACTCTCTAGTATGGTCTACTTGAGCACACAGTTCTGTTTCCACAGAACTAGATGCATGTCTATAATTATTTTGCTGTTGGTTTTAATTTTATTTTTATTTTATTATGGGTAATGGCAAGGTACCTGTCATTACAAACCTGTTTTTCTTGAATTATTTGACATCTTTTGCTAATGGAATTTCTGCATTTGGAAGTTTGTGCTTTATAAGGCATTTTCAGAATACTGCTTATAATTAATGGAAGGTGCAAAGGTGAAAAGATCTGTCAGCTTTAGAAAAGTTACTGTAAACTTGCTGTGAATTACTAGCATGTATTTACAAACTTGAGTCTTAAAGATTACCACTGCAGTCATCACTGCCTCCATTCATACAATGTCATGTTGTGCAAGTCATAATACATTACAGCAAATAAAACAATAGGAGATGCTTCTGAAGAGCTGTGAATTTTAAATCTTTTATAGCTATGTTTAGTGTGCTGTTTAACTGTTGTTAACTGTGTCCCCCCAGCATTGGTTTTTTTTTCAGAACAATCTCGATGAATTTCTCACATGCACTTAAATGTTTGTGTCCTTAAAAGATTGAGCAAAATTAATTATGATAGAGAATATGGAGATACAATCTATTCCTCTAAGGCTCAGTTTTAATTTTCTAGTAGATAGCTGCTGAATTTTGTTTTAGTTGTGGATGACACAGTGTGTATAGGATATATGCACATCCATTGCTAAGAATAATGAAATTAACCTTGGTGTCAAGTGGTGATTGCAATTTTCACTGTGCATTTATACTTCAAATCTTTGGGAAAGCTGTCTTCAGCCACCTTCTGTGGGATGTATCAGAAGTGTTAAGTCAAGATACTTTGTTTGTCTTAGAACTGCTTATGAAGAGTGTTTTCCTTGTCTAAAGATCTTTTAGACAGAACACTCAAAAAGGTGATGGAGGAAACTGGCTGAATCTCCTAAATTAAGCGTACTAGATGGGAAGAGGCAGATTTAGAGCTTAAGAAATCTCATATGCTGTACCTAATACATGGTCCTGACCTGTAATACCCTGCAGTGTAGGCTTGGGCAGGCTGTAGGCAGCTCTGCCCACAGCTGCAGAGCACCTTCTGTCAGCTCTTACCTTCCCCTGCTGTTTCTGTCAGGGATGTGGGAACAGTTCCTGCTACTGTGTTGCTGTATTGATCTGTTACATCCCATTTCTCAACCCTGTGTCTTTTAATACTGCTTGTAGGAACTACTGTATCTTTCTTGTTGTATCATGTTCCCTTGAGGTTGTGATTTGGACAAAATGGCACCTAATATATATATGGATGAGTCTGGAACGGTATGATTACTTTAATATAGCTTAAATGTGAGCCACTGCTGAAAGGATATTACTCTTTTCCTCCCTCCCCACATGTGGTACACTCCCATTTCCTCTTTTCTGCACATCCAGCTGTGCAGTGAGCAAGATCACAGAACTGATTCAGTTAAAATGAACATGATTTCTGGATCATGAACTTAGGGACCAGGGAAACTATTCCTTTTATTAGCAACTTGTGTTAAATGACCGTAAGTCTTCAACCTGAGTCTCATAGACTTGTATGTCCTACTCTGTGGCTGCAACTGGATCTGTATGTTAAAACCATGTGTATTATTACAAATTTACTTGTGTGCATTATTAGGTATATATACGTGTTGTTTTAAAAACACGGGTTTTGTTACAGTTTGGTGATAATGAAATATGATTTTATGAGAGGGAGGGGAATTGAAAACTAATGCAACATGGGAAGAGAACAATGAATCATCCAGTGAGCTCATCCCTTTCCATTGCTTAAGAAAGGGAATGGGCAGAGGCAAGTGATGCATGAACTGTTTTGGTGTCTGCAGACACTGCCAGCTCCCCTGTGCTGGAGGCCCTCTGGGAAAGGGTGTAACAAATGTGCAGTATAATTGATCTGCCCATGCATAGTAAATCGGTGAGTGTTGTAGTACGGTCAGCTGTGTTATGCATTTAATCTGCCCATGCAAAATAAATATGAGACGCATTGTGCTATGGTCAACTGTGATTCTCATTTACCATAATTCTGGCCACATGGATGCCTTTCCTTGCTACTGAAATTAACGGCATAGTCTAAAAGATGGGAGGTTGGATGCTGGTAGAGCTTCTCATCAGTGTTTTTTTACTTTAAACAGCTTAATTTATAATTTATTGCTACACACAAAAGACAAGTAAAGAATAATGATTCCTGGAGTTCATGAATCTTCTTGGCTTTGGGTATTCTGTACATTGAACTTGGTTATTTTTTATTTAAAATTTTTGCTGACATAACTATCCTGTTTAGAAGTGTGGGAGTAATTGCAACCCAACCCCCTGGTAGCTGGTAGTTGATTAAAAGTAGTTTTGACAAATACCAGACTAAAAAGTCCTTCTGCTGGTAAGTTTTACTTTGTTTAGGAAGCTGTTTTAACTTATACCAGTAACAAAGCTCATGCTAATATAAACTGTTTGTCAGGCTGAAGAGCTTCTCTCATATAAACATAACCAAGTCTTCAGTGTTATTTCCATGCTCTGATTAGCTTTCTCGGGCAGATTTATCCACAGTAGCTAAAGCAAAGGTCTCTAGTTGTCCTCTTGGATGACTGAGTGAAGTCTTAGTCCAGTCCATAGAATCAGCAGTTTACAGTCTGCCATATCAATGTAAACTGGTATCAGCAACAATTTATATTAACAGGCTAGACAGTAAATTATCACTACAGAGGAAAAGATCTAAATCCCACTTGGCTGGTGTACTCTGGTGTTAATGGACAACTGTGATACCTACTTCAGGCACTACAACCTCATTTATCTATCATTTTGAATTTGGGCTTGCTTCAACATAATATTTTCTTTTATCTTTCATCTAATGATAGTCAGATCTCCAAAACTGGTGTGTAACTCAATATTCATGCTAGTTTTTTTCTCTTCCTTCCCCCTTCCTTTTCAAAACTGACTTAACTAGCCAAATTTGTGGAGTTATTTCCTGGAATCACATCACTATAAGAAAGCAGAATATCAGGAAATCAGTTATAGTTTGTTATCTATGTAATAATTTAATCCTGCCTGGAATAAATTAAAACTCTGTGTAAGATTAAATAGTTGAATAGTAGTAACAACTTATTAACAACTATTATACTTAATAGTTTGTGGAATTGTATTACCACTAAATTATAAATACTCAGTTTTTTGTTACACAGTCTAGTTTCAAAACACCTGAAATGATTTCTTTACTAGTTTTGAAAACTGCATTTTACCTTCTAATTTTGCAAGCTGTTCTGTTTTGCTAAATCTGTTATTTCTGCTAATCTTTCCACTGGTGCTGGTGAGTATTTAAATGTTAGCAGGCATCTGTCCACACATTTTATAGAGGCCTTAGATTAGGGGCTACAAGGAATACAATTCCTGTTTGCCACATGCAAATCATATATACAATGACATGATCTTCAGTATGTGTTACAAGACTAACATTAGGATGAAATTGTTACCTTTAAAGTTATAACATGCAGCATACATTTACCTAGATGGTTTCTCTGCGTGCTCAACATATACTCTGGCAATCAGCAGACCTTTCATTTAATCAGAACTTTTAATACGGTTGGACAGTGTTATGTTGAGAGTCTATACATGAAGTTAGACATGGGGATAACACAATCTGTAACTATTCTAATTCACCTTTTTGAATCCTGCAGCTTGGCTGAAGAGGAAATAAAGGCAGAGCAGGAGGTGGTGGAGGGGATGGATATCTCCACTCGATCCAAAGGTGAGTAAGAAGGAATATTTAATCTATGGTCTTTATTTCATGGACATTTCCATATCCATTCCTGACATGAGTTCAGCTTGGTGGTGGAACTGCAGATGACTGTGAACTTCTTCTGGTTTCTGGAGTTTTCCTTATGCACGAGTTACTACAGGCAAATGTTGTTATCTCCCTGTATAAAAAAAAAAGCCAAAGCCAATAATTTTTTTCAGTGTAAAGATTCAACTGTAAATGGGAGTAGGTGGAACAGAAATGCCCTTCAATCAGAGTATTTGCACATCATTGTTTACTCCAGTTCATTGTAATTGACTGCCAGCTGCCCAATGAAAGCCATTGCTGTACTACCATCCTTTTAAAATTCTGGCACATACCTACTTACTCTTCACATTTCTGCTAAAGGGGTGATAAGTCTAGTTAACTCTGAATGTACAGACATAATTGTCTTGAAAGCATGGTACAGTTCATCTGCATTCTTTTCGTTTTAATAAGGTAGTTTGGGTAGATAACAGTTACAGAATTGCACTTAGGTCTTATTTGTACTATGGTTAGAGGAGGTAGTTGGTACATATGATCTGACTTGCTCCTTTTTGTCCTATTCTCCCTTCTTTGCTTCTGGTTGTGCATGTCAGGCTCCATCACTGGCCTGCTTTCAGTCTTTGCTTATCCCTGTATTTCAGGTTTCTACTCCAGCAGAAAATAAAGTTTTTAATTGTTTTAATGATTGCTGCTGAATGGATTAAGCTTCCAGCTTTTCACTCCTACCACTCACTTCCCTTGTGTTTCTCAGATCCCAGCCACTTGAACTTTTTAGCCAACTTAAAAACTGAAACATTTTTCCGCTGTTGTAGCAACCAGTTTGTGGAAGAGTTCAGTGTGAGAAGAAGGTATAAAAGCTAGTGGGTGTTCTTAGATGCATTTAGCTGCCCAGGAAATCTCAGCTTTTTTTCTCTTCAGACTCTGGCCCACATATTCTGATAAGAATTTCACGTCAGTTGAGCTAAACTGTTACTTCTGTCACTCCAACATAATGTCTAAAAGTAATTTGAGTCTGATACCTGTTTATGTAGATTTCTGCATTTTAATTCTGTTAAAGGGTTAGTCTTTCATCTCCCAGCCTTCTCAGCCATGTAATCTCACAGCTCCCCCTGTTCTGTGGGCTCTGATAAATTCAGATTGGTCAATTCAGAGGGAGTTAACCTGGCAGAAAAAGACTCATGCTTTTATACTGAGTGAGTTTGCTGTTGATACAACTCCCTGAGCCAGTTCATGGGCTCAACTCTGGTAGTGACTGAGAGTGGTTTAAAAGACAAAGACAGAATCAGCACAGTGCTAGTTTAGGTTTGCCCGAGCTGTCATTGTGTGGAAGTCTGTACATGGTAACTAATGTTAACACTGGTTTTAACCACTAGTGAGAATGATCTGAAAAACCCTTGTGCATCACCATAGTAAAGATAAAGGTGAATGGACATTGAATGAATTGAATAACGGTATTGATACTTATTTAACTAGATACTAATTTGCTTTAATTGGTTTGTTAACTTTGGCACATATGTTGATAAAACGCATGCCAGGACCATTCTAAGGGCGAGAATAACAACCACCCATGTCAAGCTCTTACATGAATGTATATTTCTAAGTGAAGAAGTGATGTGCATTGTAAAGAAATCTTGAGACTTGCCTGTAAGCCATCTTGCTTTCTTGTGTTCCCAAACTAATCTATGAATCTGTGGTACAACTTTATAAGAGTTGAATGTGTAGTTCTGCATAGAAAGTACAAGTATCATAAATGTCATCTGCAAAGAGCTGGCCATATTAGAGGCCTACTAAAATGAATCTGTCTGAACTTCTGTTATTTGGATCGAGACACATTTCTCTGTTAGTTCAGTGCAGGGTTTTGGCAGCAGAGAGGTTATAAACCAGAATTTAAAAGCTGTTGTTATACTTCATGTAAGGCAGAAAAGATGCAGCAAGGTTCTAAACTGGTGGAATGGTGGTAACACGTTTTGTCTTGTAACATTAATCTTGTTCAGAATTTTACTTTGTGTGTTTTCGAAAGGAGGTAGGTGAGGAAGTCAACCCAATATAGACAAAACCTTACGGGAAGCATACAGCTCTTCTTGGTTTGTTTGGTTTTTTTGGTGGTCTCTGAAGCCTGTGCATATCAATCAGTGGCATTGTATAACTTCATACTTGTCCAGGAGAGGCTGATAAACTTCACATTTGTAACCTGCCGTAAGGTGGTGGTTTCAAAGCAGCCTATGCTGGTCAAACTGCTTGATGTAACAGTTTTGTCCACTTCCTTCCATACCTAAGCTGGCAGGAAACTAACTGAACCATAAAACATGGATAGCTTTCTGCTGGCTTAATGTGCTGAAATGCCTTGGTAGTCTGCCAGAACTGGTGTAAGAGAGAGGGCATATATACCAGAATATACCAGTTGGGTGCAGGAAGTATAGATCTTTCTTAGCAAGCTTAATGGTGAGAATTCTGACTTCTACAGCTTTGGCATTGCTGCAGGTTTGAGTTGAAAGCTTAGAAGCTTTTTGGTCCTAGGGCCTTCTCTGAGTGGTAAAATGCTCAGATATTACAAAAGCTAAATGACTAATAAAATGGAATTCCAGAATATATTCTATATTTTGTAACAGTTCCATAATACACCATGTATCAACTTTCTTTTCAGTTGATACCAAGTATTTAGTCACATAGAGATGTGATTCTCACTCAAATGTGAAAAATAATTTGAGAGTCCTTCAGTGGCAACTAGTGCAGCCTAAGTCTTTTACCTCTAGTGCAGAGCCCTTGTTACTTGGAAATCAACAAGGGAATCTTCAGGTCTGCCTTGCAGCAGCAAGTCACTCTACAGCCAGGCTCTAGTTTATAAACAGCTTAAATCTCTTACAGTGCAAGTTGTTGGGGAGTTTTTTTATCTTCCAAAGTTCTACAGTGAAGAAACAAGTAACAGTGTCTTTTTGTACTTGTCTAAAATTGTAATGTAGTAGGAGTTCATCAGGATTTACACAACCTTGGCTAACCTCTGTTATTTATTTCATTAAGCAATTGGATTGGGTTAATTGCATCAGTTGAAGTTTCTGGAATGTGAACAGGGCTTTAGTGGCTGATTGCAACTGCATCATATTTCAAAATTCTGGCATAAGATTAAAATGTCTCAGAGTTGAGTGTAAGTTCTAACAGATTTATCCATTATTATTTAAGTGTTTTGAAGGTAGTTAAGCTTGCTATAGTGTTATAGGTAATTGATTTAAAAAACAATAAACCTATTAGCATCCATTCAGGATAATAAATATAACTGGGAAACTTTACAGTTCTGGAATCCATATAAATTATTAATTGAATCCCATTCTATCAAATTGGACTGGAATGATACTGACAATTGAGTTAGTTTTGCTTCTTTTTCTCTTAGAATTCTTCATTGATTTTCCTGAATGCCGTTTAAAATACATGCATTCAGAGCTTTTGTGGAGGAAAGAAGAGAGAAGTGGCAATCTAGGTGGAAGTCAGTTTTCTGTTTTTGTTCTACGTTACAGGTATCTGTGGGGTAATGACAGCCTAAGCTTAAGCTAACCTAGCTGTTTCTTGTAGCCATCAAATGAATTCTTCATCAAATCAAATTCTTGTTCTTTTGTACTGTTATATTTAATCTAATTTAATTCCCTGATCTGCTTCACCAAATGTTGACAGAACTATTTGTGTAATAATAAAAAGGATAGTGTGGGATTGGGAATTAATGTTAACAGAAGTAGCCTTGGGCTGACTCCATCTAAATAGCACTTCTGCCCAGTGTCTAACTTACGCAGAACAATTGACTAGGTTGCTAATTGGAAACATGCAGAATTTTGCATTAAGGTATCAAAAACCTACTTATAGAAAACTTTTGTTGATGTAACCAAGACTCAATTCACTGATACCTAATACTGATCCTGGAATACTAAAATAGTTGTTTCACTGAAAAAATACATTTTTGTTGTTGGCTCATGGAAAATAAAAATGACAGCTGATTTTACCATCTTTATCAAAACTCATGTTGAAAAGCTTTTTTGACTTTTTTTGGTAACTGTTTAAACAAATGTGTTTCTGAGTTTCCTCCCTCTGTTCACTTTCTGAAAATTTCCAGAACAGCAAAGTTTTGTTACAAGCAGCAGATACTATCACTTTATAGCAGCCCATTTATCATAGAACATGTATTAAAATGCAATAAAATTAGGTACAGAATTTGAATAACTAATACTGTTCGTGAAAGTATAGCAAACTTGTAGTTAGGATAATTTTTTTACTGTCTCTGCTTTATTTGAAACGCAAAACTTTAAACCCTTCCACACCAGCTCACATCAGCTGATGATAAAGCTTTTGTCCTGTGATTTCCACACTTTTTTGGAAGGCTTTTGTTTTGTTTGCCTGATCTTTTTGTGCGGCTGAATTTGAAAATCATTACATATAGTAGGGCTGATTTACTCAGGCTTTTTCTTAACTGGCTTTCGATCCAATGCACTGAGGATGCAACACTAAGGCAATATATGCTGATCTAAGTGAGACTTGCCATGCTCAATGATTTTCCTTGTCAGCCACATTTTCATCCTTTCATACTGACACTGTCAACTTTGGGACTTGTTGGTATGCCCACTCAGCTGAAATTAAGTTTTGAGGTTTTTGTTTGGTTTGGTAATATAATTTCTCTAAACTGTCTTGCTTCCTGGGTGAAAAAGTAGGAGTGCTAGAGAAAATAAAGGGGAAGAAAATATATCTGTGGAAGGGTGCTGTGAAACCTTAACTTAGATCTCTGTAACTTGCTGTGGATTTCAGCTCTCATTAAGGCCTTATTGGTAGAGAAACTAATGCATGAGTAGTAGGTAATTAGAATTACATATGTATATGCCATTTCACTTTGGTTTCAGTCTGGAATTACATTTCATTTAGCTTAAGCGAATTTTTAAATAAAAAATTAAAGATATATGGAAAGGAAGGCATAAAGAAATGCAAGATGTCACTGTCTTTGGTACTGAGCAGTTTATGCTGTGTCCTTACAGTAAGACATATTGATGTTTTCACAGGAGTTGCTTTTGGGCATCATGGGAAAAGCAAAGAAAACAGCAATTTACACATTGTTTGAGTTGACACCTGCTTCTCTTGAGAGAAACAAAACTTCTCAGTTAGCTATCAGGGATCATAACTGCTGAATGCCTACAATACAGCACTAGCAATGTATAGAACACAGCAGATAAATTTATGGTCTATGCTCTGTATGCTGTAGCAAGGTAAGATCCCTGATACAGAATAATAACATACTTTTGTTTTATAGTTGTGTTTTTTTCTAAGCTAAATAGCATTATAACACTATCATAGTTTATCTGCTTAAAAACTGCATTACCATCACATAAAATTTGACTTTTTAATAGTCATTAAGTGTGAAATTAAGTTACTTTAGGGTTTAAGTATGCTTTAGTCTGTCTCCTGGGAGCAGTAGTTAATAATCCTTTAGTCACATGATGTCAAACTGAAAGAAAGATTTTAAACTTTAGGTGAAACTCAGATTAGCTTGCTGTTCCCCAATGGATGGTTTGCAAAAGCGCTGATAGGTGCTTATGTCAACCTTGGCAACCTTACAGAGCAATTAACGATAAACTAGTGATGTAAAAACAGGTAGCTTTTATAGAGAATTAAAGAAGTTATTTCAAGTATTATTTCCTTTACATTGGAAACAAGATTTTGAAATAATGCTAATAAAGTAAAATCAGACTCGAACATCAAGAAATAAATGGAGTAAAGTTGCTCAATTAGTACAATTGGCTTATCTACTGAACGTTAATTTATTATTTTATTTCAGTTTGCTTCTTTTAGTACACAAAACATGTAATTTCTTATTAACCTTCTGAGTGCAAGGCTGCGAGTCATCTCAGCCTTTTCAGTTAGAAAAGGTGGGTGCACAAATTGTTGCCTATTTGAAAAGTTTGCTCAGCATCTGACAGGAGTTTTGTAGAAGCAGCAAAGAAATTGCAGGGATATGTGCTAACTGGTGGCGAATAGGCACAATGAGATATGCTCCAAAGTGAGATCACTCTTGCTTCTTAAACACCTTTTTAAAAATATTTGCTTGATATAGTAGAGTTCACACAAATTCTTGCTTTTCCTTTTTGGAGGAGGAACTTGAATCCACCTCCTAGGTAGCTGCCATACTCACCAAGTTATTGCATAGTTTAAATTTGGTCTTCTTTGTTCTTTCCTTTTGGATTTGTTTCACTTGTTTAAGTAATAAATATTAAGTTAAACTACATTGGCTTTACAGGTTAAAAATTGACCTTCCTCTTGACAAGTTATTTTACCAGAGATACTTTTATTAATCTGACTCACAGCTCAGGTACACTGCTGGAAGAGCCAACAAGGAAGAAGGGGCAGTGTGCACTAAATGGTGGCACTGCTCTTGAAATACATTCACACAAAATGCAACCTAAACATTTTTTATCTTTATTAGAATTAGAAACTGTAATTGAGGCAATTTAAGTAGGTGCTACCATTCTTTGAACTGAACTAAAAGAGTGATCATATTATTAGGTTCCTCACAGACTGGAAGTTGGCAGCACAGGTTGATAGTTAAAGACATTAGCCTATTTCACTAGCACAACTAAATCTGAAAGAAGATGCCTGTGTTGCTGTTTTCCTGTCTATTCCTGAATTTTTCCAGTTACATCTTATATTTTTTCAAGAAAATATCTGTTCTTCTCAATAACTTGCCAGCTGAAAAAAAAACCAAAATGGTGTATTTCAGGTCATTTTTTGTATGTTGTTGGAGAGTCACCACTAGTTGATTTGAAAATCCCTAGTATGCCCAGAGTTGAACCACAGAAGGAAATTACACTAGTTTAGGTAGTGTTGGAAAGTATTTAACTAAGCATAATTGTTGGTATTGTAATTTGATTTAATCGGTATTGAATCAATGCCTTTTTTCTTGAAGTGTAGTTTGGATTGGGCTATGACTGAGTTATAATTAATTTCTGGTTTAGCTAATAACAGTTTAGCCCTTTTCCTAACCCTGAATCTGTTAGTTTAGGAAAAAACAGCATTTAGAAGTTAGAAACATCACATTATGGGAGCAGGCCAATGACGGGGAATGTATGAAAAGTATCTGCTGAGAACTGCAAATTATAATAAAGAAACAAAGACTTACATTGTACATACTATTCTGAGCCATGTGGTGATGGGAAGATCAGACAAGTTAAGGTATAATGCTATTTTTGCTGCTCACTCTGAGTGCAAACAGTTCCCATGGTGAATAAGCTCTGATCTGTTTTAATTAAAACAATATAATTCAGAGCTTGTTTTGTTTTTAGGCTTGATTGCTTTGGAGAAGTTGTGGGTTTTGCTTTAGCTGACACTGATGCTGCAGTGTTTCTTCCAGAATAGCTGTACTGGCTCAGATCTCCTGGGATATATGAAGCATATGCCAGCCAAAGGAGTTCTTCTGCCACCTTCTGTACATAATTAGATAAACTGAAAAAAAACCAACCCAATCTTAGTCTTCTGTCAGCATAGTTGTACCTGTATTAGGATTTTTATTATAATTGCTTAAGGAGAGGGGAGGAGACATATATTTTACCTGGCAATTCTTTGTATTGTCAAATCAATCTAAATTTTGGGCAAAATGGAGTGGGAGACATATGTCCTTGAACTGAAACAAGTCAAGTAACAATAAGGAGACTAGGTTAAGTAAGGTTTTGGTGACTTGGCAACCTGAGACAGCTCAGCCCATCACCCAATAAGGCCTCAAGGCAACAATAGAGATCCAGGAGAGAAAGAATGTAGGATCATGGCAAACAGCAGTTTGATTGCCTCTGGCTTCTGTCAAATAGCAGCCAAAAGCTGTTGACAAAAATAATCCTTAAGGTAGCTTTAATACCAAAAGCAGCATTTCTCTTTCTTGCTACATGTTCCCATCCAATGTAACTACTTCATTGAATGCATCGCGGGTGTTTGTGGCTGTGTAGTGAATGAGGTTATAGAAAGAATTACTCAGAAAAAAAGGTTGTGTTTTTCAACAGGTTTTATTTCTGAATTGTTTACTCTGCAGCCACAAAACACTTGCACTAGCACATGTGAATAGGGGATTGAACAGACGGGAATTATTTTAGGGAGCATTCAGTTGTTTCTCTATGGTATTAATAACTTCTGACCTCTGTGGTTTTATCTATGATTTTGTTCTCTTGTGTGTATTTAAACCCTAAGGAAAATATAAACACGTTAAACCAACTGTATTGAACTTTCACTTTTATTGTGTCAAGATTATTGTCTACTACAGCTGATTGCGTATTTGTTTCTTTTGAAAAAAATGTCAGTAAGTTCCTTGTACTGAGTTGAACATTCTGTATTCATTAGGAATTATTTGGCTTTAGTTCTGAAAAAAATGAAGTTGCAAATTATCTTTTTTTCCCTGAGATTCTGATGAGTTGGTTTTTTTAAAGCATATTAACACTTTTAAGGCTGTAAATAATTCTGTAGATAATTTCTGAATATTCTAGTGAAAACAAAACTATGACCAAGCAAAAATACCAAAAGATTAATTAAAAATATTAGCACAATTGCAGGAGTGAAGCAGACATGAAGACCAAATAGTAGATGTTAATTTCTTAGAGCTATGTCTCATTTTCTTTTGAATTAAAAAATAAAATAAAATTGCATGTTTCATAAAATGCAGTTTAGAGCTGTCAGGGTTTAGAGCTGTCAGAGCTGTTAAGTTGCTGGTGTGAGGAGTTTACTGTAAAATGACAATTCATGACTTAGAGCAACTGAAACACAGGCACATGCTCCCTTCTGCCAGCTTTGTTACTTGGGATAATAACTTCAGGCATAGATGAAAGCTGTGACTTACTGAACTGCTCTTTTTCTTTGCTTGGTCAAATGTAAGAGCTCTGACTGTGAGAGACACTGAAAAGTTGTGTCATGTTCTGTTGCTCTTCTTGTAAGAAGTTGCTACTTGACTGGGAGTCTTGTCTTATTTTTCTTTTTACAATCCGATGTAGCAAGTCCTACAAATGATGAAGTATTTGAGGTAGCGTGTTTATTATCAGACTACAGCATAACACTCTGCTAAACTACAGAGTATAATTGTTGTTATACTTCATAATATGCTAAAATTTTAGATGAATGGTGAAAATGCTGTGGGAAAATGGTAACATCCAATGTTAATCTAAATTACTCTATTGAGAATTCACTTTGCAATAGCATTGCTTAACAAGTCAGTTTTGTCAGTAACGGGGTAAGAGAAAGAAAAATTATGAATGACAAACCATAACCTTGTTTGAATGTTTTTTGTTTATATGTACTTTTCAATCATATTGTTTGTATCTGTTGCAGATCCTGGCTCTGCCGAACGCACAGCACAAAAAAGGAAGTTTCCCAGCCCTCCACATTCCTCTAATGGCCACTCACCACAAGATGCATCAACAAGTCCTATAAAAAAGAAAAAGAAACCTGGTCTATTGAACAGTAATAATAAAGAGCAGGTAAGAGAAGTCATGGTCATGTTAAGCTAGAGTATGGAACAATGAAAGATGTAGAGACAGCTGAACAGGAGCTCTCTCCTCTTTAGGAAACTGTGGGTTTGTACTGTAAGAAGTGGATATTAATTTTTGAATGCAGTGGGTGTAGGAGTTCACATTATAAATTGGATTTGAGTGTTATTTTTGTTTTATATCTGTATGAGAAGTACAAACCGTGTCCTGGTTTTTGGTTTCATAAAGCTAATATGATGTATAATCAATAAATACAATTTTGAACAAAAGTTCTAAGAAGGAATATAGTAGTAACAGGGAAAACGATAATAGTTGCTTTTACCCTTACTGGAATTATTTCTCATCTAATTTAATAATGACATATATGTGTATTTTTCAAAGTGATTTTGTGTGTCAACCTATTTTGCCAGGATCATATAAACACAGCGTTAAATTCTCAATGTTTAAAGCTCCTTTTCCTAGTTTAACAGTATTGACAGTAACGCAGTATCTTGGTACAATTACACTGGTTAAGAAAGGAAATGAAATTTCTCATCACTGCAGTTGTCCTGGAAGAAAGACTGTGAATAAATCAGGCCTTACTAGAGAATAGTTTTACAGTGTCAAGTGCATTTAATTTAAGAACAATTTGGAGGTCTAGTACTAGCATGTGTACACATGCTTGCACTGGTTTAATGTGGCCAGTTTGGATTTTGCTGAGCTTCACTGAAGGCTGTATAATTTCCTCTACATCCTGGACATTTATGAAGGTGGTTGCCCCACTGAAGTCTGAGCTTCTAACTGTGCAGTGTAGAGACAATTTTACAAGCCCTGTAACTGCATCTTTATGGTGTTAATTTCCACTTTTATTATTCATGCATTTAAAAATAGACGTGAAAACACAATTGCGGTTGTTGAACTTGATGCATTTCCCATGGTAAATCACTTTTTTTTCCAGGTATCTCAGACCTGAAATATTGCAGGATAGAGTAAAGTTGTATATCTAATGAAGCAAAGCAATCAGACTTACTTTGCTGTGTTTGTTTTAAGCTAGTGAGAAAATATTTTCTGTTTAATTTTGTTTATCTTTTACAAGTTGTTTTTGATTTAATATTTGCATGTCAAATTTGAAATGGGCATGCCTGAAGATGACTGTTTGTAAAGTAGGTGTAGAACTTACCTATATGGTAGTAGAGTTGTTCCAAGATTCTGCTGCTGCTGAACAGTTTTGAGCATAGCATACAGATACTTGTTATGCTCTCAGGTTAAGTTTCAAGTGTAACACAGCTGATAGCTGTGGTTCTCATTGTCTTTAAGTCCATTTTGAGGTCTGACATCACTAGAAACCTCTAACTGTAATGTATACATTACAAGGTTTTGTAGTATTTGGGTATTTCAAACTACTGTTACTAAAGTTATAGTTGCATGAAGCTTCATATTACATGTGTGGATGCAGTTAACAGATCTTCAGAATGGTGCCAACAGGTATTTAAAGTGTTGAAATGCAAGCAAAAAATGATGGAATTGTAGAATATAGCTAACACAGCTTAAAACTGAAACTTCTGATACTTAATTGGACAGTTATAATGGAATTGAAGTTGTGTGCTTATTTTACTACTAGCTTCAATATGAATTTAAACGGGATATAAATAGTGATCTTTTTCTCCCCAAAACAGTATTACAATACTGCTGTTTTTTCTTCAGTTTTCTGTCATTCTATAGGTCTTAATAACTTTAATAAAGACTTTAAACCAAGCTACCATCTATTTGAACTTAAATTGGCTAGTTGTGAAACAATTGAGAAAACAAAGCTTCTCTTTTATAACTTAAAATTAAAACTTTTAAAACATTTTACTCAGATTAGAACAAGTGAAAAGGTCCTTTGATGCAGCTGAATAATTAGTTTTCAGTCCTTTAGTTGTGAGTCTGGGTCTTTTTTGAGTCTCAGAAACTTTGGCTCTTGAACTTGGCTTAGGCAAAATAAGATAATAGAAGCATCCTTGAACAGAAAAATAATTCCTCTCATGCTCTAGCAAAAGTAGACTTCTGCTTGATTTGGATGTTAGGAGCTGACTTCTGTGGAATAGTTTCAGAAGTTTTATATTTGTCTTAAAGCAGTATCTTTTGTTTCACAGGAAGTTAGTGGGGATATACTGCTTATATCCACTTCAAAGTCAGAATATGTATTGCATTCTTCTGGTAATTTCCTTTATCTGCTGTTAAGGAAATGCCCCATAGCTGCAGCTCTGTGTATACAGTGTTGAGATTTTGGTTTCACAACTGTGGTGCATATAGCTGTGAACAAACCATGTTTTTCACTGCAAATTGCAACTTCCCTTTCTTCACTCTGGGTTTCCATGTGCTTTTGTATCTGTTTGAAGGACTGTATTAGTAATGCACTTGAAATGTAGTTAAAGCCTTATGCTGTCCCTCTTATTCCACAGGATCTCAAAGAACATTCCTTCTGAAAATCTTATCATGTTGTATCATAAAGTTATAGAACACCAGTTTGAAAGGGACCTCAATGATCATCTGGTCCAGTCTTTCTTGATGATTAAATATATGTACAGAGAAAGAACAGAAAATAAGACTGACTTTGTTCCCACCAGGGAAATGGGCTACCATGAGCTGTATCGTCAGTAGAATAGAAAATGGAAAATGCCAAAAACTGATAAAAATTTGGGTGAAATTTTAGGTAGCAGAATGCTTTGGGAATGTTTGTAACATCCTTTCTTTGCCTAAAATATTATACAGTGTTAGATAATTGCAGTTGATGTCTCTTCTGGTGTATTGTTTGAAATACAACATTTTCAGCTGAGTTGTCACTTCTGCATCATCTTATTTGACCATTAAGGTCCTAATGCATATAATTAGACCTTTGTAGCTTTAGAAATAACACTGATCAAGCTGGCATGCTGGTGATTTCTGATGACATTAATTTATGTCCAGTGTGACTAATTTTGTGCAGGATGATACAAAGCTATAGAACATGACTAGGCTTGCACTGTTCTGAGTCACATGAACATCTGAGAACTCAAGGGTCTAAGAACTTGCAGATGTCTAAACTGTGTAGGAATCGTGCAAAATGATCTGAGAACTAAACACAGTGGTTCTCAGGCAAACTACAAGCATTTGGATAGTTGTAAAACCATTTGCTCATGACATTACTTATATCAAGCAATTCACAGTAAATAAACTGCCTACAACAGGTCATTTCCCTTTATGCTCCTCACCAAACCACCCCTATAATTAATACCACACGGAAAACTTCAGTTCCCTTGTCATTAATAAACAGAATGTAGTTTTTCAGTAAATGTTAGCAAATCTTCAGTGCTAGTCTTAGAAACTTCAGGGATCTGGGGACCCATTTGAGTAATCCTAGGCTTTTCACTTTTTGTGTTTTGGCTTCAGCTGTGTCATCTTTGTGTCTAGGGCTCAAGTGGAAGACTAGCTCATGCAGCTTACCAAGTTAACACTGTTTTCTAGTGCAGGCAAACCAGTGGATATTGTGAGTCTTAAATTCTGATATGCATTTAAATGTTGGATTAAATCTCTCCCAGTGCTCCTACTCAGGTAGCTCTCAGGTGGCTCTTCAGGAAGTGAATTTTCTCCTTTGTCATCCTACTTTACAGTTTGCCTTATTAATCAAAATCAGCACTGGCTTGCTTCATTGTACAAAGCTGTGACCTGCTGCAATTTAGGGCAGATTTGCATGGTGTTCAACTTCTTGTTTCAGGACTAACTTCTTTTGTTATCCAAAGTTTAGCCACCACTAAAAATCCCAGTATTTAGTTTGCACAACCGCATGGAATTCTGAGTTCAGAGGACCTAATAGCTTCTATAGCAACACTTCTTCCTTGAAGATGAAAGTGTTTACTGACTTTTGTTGGATTGCATGTCTTGCACTTGATGCCCTCACTTGCCACAAAAAATTGTTTTCAGTATTGAGTGTAAGCTGGCATCTGTCATCTGAATAAGTAGTAAACCTCTTTATGGTTGATTTTGTGCAATGAATAAGATATTTTGCTTGCATAAATGCTAATAAAGCTCCATAAACTGCTGTTTGCTTATATATGATGAGTATTTTTATTTAAAAAAATGCAAATTTGTTTTGAAACCAAACCTGTTTTTCTTGCCTACATTTCAGTCAGAACTAAGACATGGTCCGTTTTACTATATGAAGCAGCCACTCACCACAGACCCTGTTGATGTTGTACCACAGGATGGACGGAATGATTTCTATTGCTGGGTTTGTCATCGGGAAGGCCAAGTCCTCTGCTGTGAACTCTGTCCTCGGGTTTATCATGCTAAGTGTCTGAAACTGACGGCGGAACCAGAGGGGGATTGGTTTTGCCCAGAATGTGAGGTTAGTTTCATATAAGGAGTGGATTTTTCTTGTTTGTGAGATACAAGCAGCTTTTTTGCATTCTGAAATGTTTCTGACTTACACATATATTGCTTCTTGGTAGAAGTACCAGAAAATTGCACAGAACACAAGGCATCTATTGCTGCTTCACCACTTTTTCTTTGCGTATACTTGGATGGTGTTTGTGCTCTTACCACAAGTCTTCAACTTCCTTTATGTTTCTGTCTCTAGAGAACCCATCATTTCCAAGAGTGATCTCTTCATCAGGCACCTCTAGTTCTGAAAACATTCTGCAATTCTGTCTAGTTTAACTTGTGCTTCTTCAATGCAGAAAAAAATTACACTGTAGGGTCTACATAAACAAGTGGGCATTTTATGACTATTTTTTTCTGCAGGTTTGAGAAAGAATTCAGTCATTCCTATCCAGTGATTCCTGAGGAGAAAATACTTAGCATCAAAGTATCTGTAATGAAAGTAAATTGGTTTATCAGATGATCACGTGTTTTTCTTTGATCTCTTATTTTATTAGAGCCCAGATGATGACCCTATTCATTCGCATTGCTGTGAACCTGCATTGCATTTGGGAATTTTATGTATTCACACATTCACTTTGCTTGATCTTGAAGATGATGGATAATTTTCTGGTCTTTTCTCTTTTTTTTTCTACTTAAAACCAGCATCTAAAGTACTTGCACTGTGTCATTAGAAAAGCTTTGTTTCTTATAAGATAGTTATTATCTTCCATTTGGATGCTGGAGTGTTTTAGTGGAGAAGAATTTACCTAGAAATGTTTGCTGACAGAATATTTTTTAATCTCAACTTCTAGAAAATCACAGTTGCAGAATGCATAGAAACACAGAGTAAAGCTATGACAATGCTCACCATTGAACAGCTATCGTATTTACTGAAGTTTGCACTACAGAAAATGAAACAGCCAGGGGTAAGGAAGATTTATTTATATCTTTCAGTGCTTATTTGTCATAATCCTGGGTTTTACTTCCTTTTGGTGATGATGAACCCAGTTTATTTTATCAGATTGTATGTGACAGCTTCTATGCTGTCTGCCATCTGTCTAATACAGACATGAGTTTAGGCTGTAAATACTGTTTTGAAGTGCATTCAAAATGTAGTGTCTTGATGTAACTTCTGGATGTAGTTTCAGTAGGTATAGGAAAATATAAAGTGGCTGTCCAGTGGGACATGGTGATTTCTTACTCTCTAAAAGTAGACAATACTGTCTATGAGGTACAAGGAGAATGGAGTGACATGATTACTTAACACTATAATTATATGGGCAGACAGACACTGTTATATTATTGACTATACGTGTTGAAAACATAGCTTCTATCTGTTAGTAGAAGTTGCTCTTACCACAAAATTTAATTCTATCATATACTTCTAAAATGCTGAAGAAATTTTCCTCAGCGCAGTTAAAACCCATGCCATTAACTTCCATGCAATATGAGGCTGCTGTAACATGAACTTTGTAATGGAGGTACAATTGGTTTTCCTTCAACTTGTACCTGTCTCCCATGTTTCTGACTTAAACTCACTTCTCAAAACCAATATGTCAAAATTTTAAGTCTTCCAGACACTTGTTCTTGCTTCCAAATTTTAACAATTCCAGTCAATTGTTCTTCACCATGCAAGTTTTGCCTGGTTTTCATGTGTGAAGAAAACAGTAAATCAAAATATGATGTGAATGAATCACCAACTGTTGTCTTAACTCTTGTTGCTTAATTCCTGTACATAAGTTAGAGGAGCAGAGAGAGTGTCTCTGTGCCTGCATTGTTATAGTCAAACATGTTGGGAAAACCACATGTGCAGAATCATGGTTTCTCTGGAGCTCTGGTCTCTTTGTGATAAGTTCTTTAGCAGAACAATAATGGCAATAACTGGGAATGCTACTCTTAAGTACTGACAGATTTTGCCCTTGGAATCCTTTTACAGTGGTGAAATCTTTTTGCAGTGGTGAATACTATCCTATTAGATTAAGCCATAGAAGCTTTAAGTGCTGCTTTTCAGAAGCAAAGTGTCAGTTGTTTTACAGTGAATTGACAAAGTGTGTTGAAAATGTGGTTAGAGAGCTAATATTTAATGAATGCTACTGAAATTTTTTGTCCTTCAGGCATTTTACCAATAACTTGTTTTGGTACCTGAGTACTTTATTGGTTGTGTCCAGATGTAGAGTCCTATGGATAAAAGTTTGAAGGTGTTTGTATTGCCAAGCCACCATTGTTTAGAAAGTTATGATTCTATTGATAGTCTCAAAGTTATTTGTGAGTCAAGTGAATCAGAGAATCGGTGTCTTTATTCTGCTAAAAATCTGTCAAGTCTGATCTGATACTGGTCAGCAAAAAAACCATACTGTAAATAATAGCAATGCATTTTACAAAACCCTAACTTTTGCAATGCCTTACTTCCAACATACGAAAACAGTTAAATGAGACTTTGTAGTTCCTCTTGTTCTGCCAATACTTTATTCATAAAATGTTATAATTATCTTTAAGAAATGTTCTTATTTTGTCGTTACATTTGGAAGTGGCATTAGGAACAGAATGGGTCTTGTGTCATTGATGAGACTGTTCAGTATTAATAAGCAGTGTGATTTAACTTTTTTGTTTTCTTTGCTAACAGACAGAGCCATTTCAAAAGCCAGTCTCACTGGATCAACACCCAGATTATGCAGAATATATCTTTCATCCAATGGACCTTTGTACCTTAGAGAAGGTTTGTGTGAAGCTAAGGGAGGAAGAGTCCTTGAGTTTGATTGCTATAATGAAATTATCTGGAGTGTTTGGTGGAAGAGGGAGGCAGTTACTTGAAATAGTTTTCAAGCTTTTTGTTTGTTTTTGTTATTATAAATGCCAGTTCAGTTACAGCACAAAAAAGTCATAAGCCAACTAAACAAGTCCACTGTTTTGCCTGAACTGGTAACAGGTGCTCAGGAAAAACAGGATGAGAAAGACAGGCTTACACTGTTAACTTCCTCCTGTATAAATTAATCTAATTCTGGGAATGATCCTGTTGGGAGACTTCATTAACCAGAGTTTGCATTTGGTCATCATGTTTGCAAGCTATTAATAGATCACTGGTCCATTAATTTGGAACCATTTGAGTTGTATATCCGGGGGTCATTCCAGACTGGTTTTACTGATCATCAACAAAAACTGTAGTCTCCACTGCACCTGAGGCATGGAAGATAAAAGTAACAGTCAGGAGGTGGATAATGGGACTTCCATTCTAACTTAAATAATAATTTTAAAGTTTCCAATAATGAAGTAGTTCTCCATTCTCCACTGCTTAATGAAGAGTGAAGCACTGCAGACCTTTGATCTGCTGGGACCTGGGGAAGAGACAGCAAGTTTTCATTCTCCGCGTCCTTACGTGGAAGTTGAAATCTTAATTGTATAAAGGTGTAACAAATCCATGTGACTTCTTTTATCTAGTTGAATTATTTTACCCAGTGGATAGTCTGGAATATCAAACATAACTGCCTTATGTAGTGTGACCAGTAATTTTCTCTGGGTCTTATAAAAAAAAATAAATGCTGTGGAGTGATAATATGTCTGTAGAAGAAAACAGGGCCTTAGTTTTCTGAAAAGACATTAAATGTAACACTTTGAGGAATTGAACGCTTTTTTTTGGAAATACTGAAGATGCTGATCTAAATAATTCATTATTTAGTGTTAATATAGATACTTCATACATTTTCAGCGCAGTCAAAAGACAACCTGAATTTGACAGATTCTTAAGTATTTAGAATCATAAGTATTACAGTAAATAAATAGTTGTATTAATTGTATGACTGATAGGCAATAATGTTCAGGAAGAAGCTGTCACTTTTTACTCATTTCTGTTTCCTGATATGTTCTTATTTTTTTCTCTACAGAATGTTAAAAAGAAAATGTATGGTTGCACTGAAGCATTTTTGGCTGATGCCAAATGGATTTTGCACAACTGCATTATTTACAATGGGGGTGAGCAGCAATACCTACTAATGTCCTAAGATGAAACTTTGAAAGAGTTTAAGTCACAGAGCAATTATAGACTTTTAGTGGGCAAATGCTCAAAGTGTCTACCTGTTAATGACCACAGTGTCTACAGATTTATATTTTCTTAACAACTGTCAGACATTAGACTGTAGGATCAAATGCAGCCTGTGCTGTCACTTGTTCATTCTACCCTAAAAAAAATTCAATTAAGTTGGAATCATAAAATAGTTTGTTTCTGTGTTACATTGAGAAGAGTTGTGCCTTCCTTCTGCTTTTTGAAACCAGTAGTTCATACTCATGTGTTTCACATAGTCTCTTTAGATGTTTTGTCTTTAATGTTAACTTTTAAATCCAAAAACTTGTTTGTTTTATAATAATGGTCGCATAACAATTTTCTTGGTTAAAGCATTTCATTGTTTCCTCAGGAAATCACAAATTGACACAAACAGCAAAAGTCATAATCAAAATCTGTGAGCATGAGGTATGTGTGCCCCAGTTAACTTAATTGTCCTGTATTTTGAAAGTGTTCTATTTCATATATTTTGAGTGAAATAATGTGTTTTTTCTAAAGTGCATTGCATAACTCTAATTTTGGTAGGCTTGCTTATGTTTACGTGTTTACCCATGGCCTACAGAATGATTTTTGACAAGGACATTGCTAATGTCTCTTCCATTAGGATATTTGTTATCTATAATTAAGACTTGGGTGGGGAGGGAAGAGAAGAAAGTGGACATAGGGATTCTGCACAAAGACACCTGTGTTCTGAATGAGTGTTTGGAGTTGGAAAAGAGACCCACATTTTCTGATTCATGGCTGCACTTCCTGTGGTTCTTTTGGAGTAGCAATATGAAATTCCCATGAATAAATGTAAAAATGTCTGCATTCTTAATTGATCATTTGCACTGATTTTGTTTCTGTGCCAATCCGTAATGTTCAGCATTACAAAAGCTTGCTATTTTAAATGCTATGTATTTGAACAATATTTCATCAATATGAATTATCTAGTGATCTGACCCTTTATATTTATGGAAGTGCTTTCTCCATCCCTGGGTTGACACAGTGATTTCCATGATTCTCACATTTTATTCTATTAAGAAAAATTCTCAGAATCTATGTGTAACCTCAGACTGATATCTTACCTAGTTTATATAATGTGACCCTAAGGAGTAAAGTATTTTAATTTTGGTTCTCCACAAAATATGACATTAAATGCACAGTTGAGGTTCTATTTTTGTCACTGGAAGAAAGAAATAATTTTTTATCACTGGAATAAAACAATGTCAAACAAAGGATTTATTTTTTTTTTTTTTTACTGGAGTAAATAACAGTAGTATGTGATGTCAAGAGGGATGTAAAAGATGTAAACTGGATTGCATACCTTGCAGGGGTATAAAAGATGGGTGTCTGTTAAAACAGTGTTGATTTCACAGAAGTTAATTTTGATTTATGACCAGAAATTTGTGGGAAAATGATGCTATCAAACTAGAAAGGCTGACATAATAATAGTGATCACACTTTGGTCTCTGTTTAAGCTCCCCAGTAATTATTTACTTTTTTATTTTCAGATGAATGAAATTGAAGTGTGTCCGGAATGTTACTTAGCTGCTTGCCAAAAAAGAGAAAATTGGTTTTGTGAGCCTTGTGTAAGTTAAGGAGCTTGGTAGTCTAGTTAATGCATTAAATTAGCAGTTCTCATTTGACTTTTGCTTGTTACACCACACCCCCCATTGTTTTAAACATGTGGTGGTTACTGAGTCAGGGAAGGCTGCTGTAGTTTACCAAGTAGCCTGTGCTTGCCCGTCATGCTGTTTGTGGAGTCAGACTGCCTCAAGATGTTTAGCTGCAAGATTGCATGCTTTCATAAAAGGATTGGTTCAGTCAGAAAGAAGAGTAAACTTCACAACTTCTCTATCCTCAGATATAATCTATCTGCTCATGGGTCACCTGTGCTTGCATGTGGTACTGGCACTAACAGTAAGGTTTCTGAAATGTCCATGTCTCTTTCTGCTGGAGTACATCTGAGAGTTTAGACTTGATTTTTCCCTCATCACCTATTAATAGGCTGTTTTCTGTCTTTGTTTATTACTGCAACAAACATGGGGAGACTTCTTAAGATTCTTACGTAGAAGTGTATAATCCATCAAGTTCTCTCTTGGATTTAAGTGATACAGAATTTGAAAGACTGGCCCTAGCCTAACTTAGGTTATGCTATATATTTGGCGTTGACTAATAAAAAAAAAACCTAATAAAAAATTGCAATTATTATGTGTTTAGTTGAAATACTTAAGGTTTTAGGTTTTTTAAATTATTTTATTCTCAGGATTTATTATGTCTATATCAAGTATATAGTAAAATGGAATCTTGTATTTGGCAAGTGCCCTGTGCATGTTGAATCTAAGTAATACATACAATTTAAAGAAATAGTCTTCTTGTTTATTGGATTTAAAGGTAATACTGCTTGTATTTCTTACTGTGTATTTTGCCTCTTCCTCTAGAGCAATCCTCATCCTTTGGTCTGGGCTAAACTCAAAGGCTTTCCATTCTGGCCTGCTAAAGCACTGAGGGATAAAGATGGGCAAGTTGATGCCCGTTTCTTTGGCCAACATGACAGGTGGGAATTTAACCAAAGGATGTCTTTGGCTGTACTTATAAAATTCTGGTTGTAACTTTGTGGTATTTGAGTTTTTGGATCCTGTCTTTTGAACCATGACCCTAATAAACTGTATAATACTGTAGCACATACAATTTTAGTTCCTTAAATTATATCTATAAAATATAAGTTCTGTTTGTAAGATTAAACCATGGGTAATCTCAGTGAGTGTGCCCATTAATTCCTTTTGCACTGGAGAGAACTGTATTTCTTAATGGTGGAAGAAGCCAATAAAGTTATGTTGTTTAAACACTATGGGAGTTGACACACAATTGTAGATTAAAAAAAAAAAAGACAACCTGTGTTGAAAATGTCAGTTTTGCTCTGAAAGGCAGTAAGTTTTCTGGACCTGATTGGTAATTCATTGCAAATATAAATCTACACAGTTTCAAAAACATGTACTGTAAAAAAACCTTTATAGGACCATGAAATAATTTGTTTTAGTCAGCGTTATTTCTTGGTAATTAAAATCTGTCCAATACTTACTGATACAACTTTTTCTGGCTTTGAGGGGTTTGATCACCCTGACATGGCATGTGAAATAGAACACTAGGTTTTTAAGCAAGTGTTTTGTGAAGTCATTTTTCTCCTGACCTGCTTTTTATGTGTTTTGATAATCATGACAGATGGAAAGATTGTTATGGAATGGTCATCTTACAGTTATATAGACTACTCTAATGAGGAATATTCTGCCGTATTTGACTGGTGTTTATACATGTTTTATGGGTTACTGTGATAAACTTAAGACATGCAGTTTACTCACTTACCAAAACTAAGTACTGAACTATTGAAAGAAGAAGGTAGAGATGGTCTTTTGAAATGATCTGAGGTGTGCATCTTTATGGTTAGGCTATAATAAATTCATATGTGTGCAGAAGTTCCTAGTGTGAAATGTACTTACCTTTTATTTTCCTGTTTTATCTATAGGGCCTGGGTTCCAATAAATAATTGCTACCTCATGTCTAAAGAAATTCCTTTTTCTGTGAAAAAGACTAAAAGCATCTTCAATAGTGCAATGCAAGAAATGGAGGTTTATGTTGATAACATTCGTAGAAAATTTGGAGTATTTAATTACGCACCTTTCCGGACACCATATACTCCCAACAATCAATACCAAATGTTATTAGACCCTGCAAACCCAACTGCTGGAACTGCAAAGACGGACAAACAAGAGAAAATCAAACTGAACTTTGATATGACAGCATCACCCAAGATCCTAATGAGCAAGTCTATGCTGACCAGTAGTACTGGTCGTAGGATTTCCTTGACAGATATGCCCCGGTCACCAATGAGTACAAACTCATCAGTTCACACTGGATCTGATGTTGAACAGGAGGCAGAGAAGAAAGCAACTTCCAGTCATTTTAGTGCCAGTGAAGAATCCATGGATTTTATTGAAAAAAATACAGGTAAAAAAAAAAAAAAAAGAGGGGGCGAGGGGTACAGGATTTTGTGCTTGGTTAATGTGGTGCTTTTATTCCATGTACTTTTTAAAGACAAACTGGATTGTGACTTGTTTTATAAGGAAATTTTAGAAAAAAATATGGGTTTAACTTTATGCATTACAGATAAGAAATAAGTCCTTTTTATTGCATTCAGAAGGAGTAAATAATCTTGAAAAATTACCAAAACCCTTCAGTTTAAATGGCAGGAAATAGTGGTAACTATAAAAATTAATGTACAGTGGAAGTAAAAAGAAAAATATTTTAAAAATATTATAAGGAATATTTAAAATTTAATAACTCTCTTTCAAGGTAATGAGCTTAATTTATTAGTGTTCCCAACTGAGTAGCTGAAATATGATAAAAATGCAGTTCCATAGGCAGAGTTGATACAGAGAAAGGTGAGTCTAGAATACAGAATTTGTCTTCCTGTACTTATAAGGTAGTCAAAGACCAAATGCTCGCTGATTTTGTGGTGCTCAGGCAAATTACTTTATTTTAGTGGTTTTTTTATCCATAAAGGAAGTTCTTCATTATTTGAAAAAAAATTATGCAGTATATTAATGTATTTTAAAATGTTGGTTTTGGTGAAAGGATATCTATGTGTAGAAAAATAAATCAATAAATTACATTGCAGTTTTTAGAAAAAATGCTGCTATTTATTTATTTATTATAATCACATACTTTCTAGCCAATAAAGCCTAGGCTTTGCAACTAAATTTGGGTACAAAAATGTCTTGTGATATGATCCTGTCCATCTTAAAGTGATGACAAAGAAACTATGAATTTAAATATATTAAAATACATGAAGTTTTCATTAGAGCAAAATGTCAAAATAAACAATTTTATATGTAAATTCAAATGTATATATGCATGTACAGTTTTTATACATAAACTGGTTTGTGTCTTAAAATATAGAGCTTTTGTTATAGCACAGTATAGTAGTGGAGATGCTAATGGAAAGTCACATTAAAGCTGTTGTGTCAGATAAATATGTAAGAAGATGACAGGTGATGGCCTGTTACTCTGGTCTCTTGATTATCATAGCAATTCTGGGGAATTTTTCTAACTTTCCTTCAGGAATTATTGTGCTCTATCCTAGGGCACAGAAATACTGCATTGGACATAACTGTTAAACTAGAATATTCAGTTTCTCGCTTGGCATTTTTACCTGTATATTGTTACAAATGCTAACTTTTGTATAAACTTAGCTGTCCTATTACTGATAACTTTGTGTTTCAATTCAAATGTAAATTAAATTACTTTTCTCTGGAAAAAGAATTCAGGTAGTATGACTGCAGTGTCCTTAGGCAAGGATGCTGTTATTTGGATGCCTGTGTTCTATATTTTGAGTGATGTGTAGAAAAGAACTTGGAAACAGTTATTGAAACAGTAGGTATTTCTGACATTTAGGAATCTGAAAATATATAGCCAGTACTGCAGAAGAAAAAGTGTCCAGTAATGAGTTTAGGAATGGCATTTTCAGAGCTTTAAGCAGAGATTTAATAGATAGAAATTGGTCTTTTGCTGTCAAATGTGATTCCTTTTTTTAAGATAGTGGCCTGCAGATGCTTCTCTTTCTAGTGTTTGGCTGTTTGCCTAAGTTTGCTTCTGAAATATTATTCATTGAGATTTTAAAGGCTCAGAGCATAGAATTTTGCTTTAACTATATAAATTAAAATTCTGTTACCTTATTGTAGGAATTTGATTACTGATCTCCAGCTGTTCCGATTAAACTTACTAAGATTTGTACTTTTAATTCTCTGTTAATGTAGCTAGAAAGTAGGGTAGGTGGGGTTTTTGTGCTTATTTATATACATGAAATAACATAGCAATTCAGAGTGTCAGAATTTGTTCACTAATTTGTTGCTTACTCTAAAATAACCAGATCTTCAAAGCTAGAAACTTTCTGTCACTGCAAGGAGGTTTTGAGAGCAGGCACACATTTGGCCTAACTGCAGTCAGATTGATTTCCTTAGTTTCTCTCTATATTAAATTAAAATTACAGAGTTTTAACTTACAATGTAGGTATAACAGTGTTGAAATTACTAAACAAAAATCCTTTCCCAACTTCTGTAGCTTTATTCACAGTTTTGTCCCAGTGAATATGTCTTTATTGTGAATATTTTAAAATCTGTTAATTTTTTATTTTTTTCAGCTTCTCCAGCAGCAACAAGAACAGGTCAAGCAGGGAGCTTGTCAGGCAGCCCCAAACCTTTCTCTCCTCAAGCATCAACACCAATTTCTTCTAAGCAAGAAAGGACCTCCACTCCAGGAAGCATTCTGAATCTTAATCTTGGTTAGTCTTGACCTTTGCAAATCTAATACTGTTACAGCTGAATGGAAATTACAGTGGTGCCAGTGCAACATAATATGAACAAACTTGCTTGTATGTGGATTTAAATGAATGAAGGGCTTTAAATTAGTAAATTTTGGAATTCTGGAATTTTGAAAGATGAGTAGGGAAGTTAGAAGTTGGTAAAATTGTTCTGAAAGCCAACTGGATGTAAGTCAGTTATGCTTTGTTCCTGTAAGTTTCAGATTCGGTTCCATTTTATCTCTACATGGCATATATGGAGAAACAGGATTCTGCCCCTTGCTGTTAGCCAAATGCTTCAGGAAGGTTTGAACTCAAGTTATTAATTCATGTTTCCAGTGAGTTACAGGTATTCTTATTCCAGATACAAGCTCATAAGTATGCTGGTGTGCTGTATGTGTGGACATAACCATATCATTAATTTTTCTGTTGCACTGCAGCTGTTTCTTGTCTTATATGAGGTGACAGTGTATTTGGAAAAATGTGAGGAAATTCATAATGCTGCAGTAGTTTGAGCCATAGATGGGTGACATTAGCTGGAGCAGAGTATTTAGAATAAATCCAATGTTATGGTCCATGAGCAATACCATAAAAGAACAGTTAGCATGCTTTCATGTGAGTATCATTTGTTTTTTCAGCTCTAGGGTAGTTTCCTTTGTTAAATATACTCTTCAATGCTAGGAATGAAAATGGCAACCTTTCCTCATTTGTGTCAGCTGTGGCAGACATAGATTAATTTGAATACTCTGGTTTTCAGATATGACTACTTGTGTCTCTTTGTCATACATTACGTGAACAGGATTTCTCTCTGAAAAAACAGAAGGGAAAGTCCAGTAAATAAAGACATTAAAGTACCTTGAGCAGAGTACTAGGAGGTCTCTGATCATTCTCCAGTTCAGCAATTATGAAAACTACTGAAAATGAGGCATCTGTTGCTACTGCCTGACTGGCTAAGTTGAAAAATGGAAGTGTGAATGACCAAGATATACACAGATTGCTTGGGTTAAAAAAGCGTATATAGGACAGTATAGGATAGGATAGTATAGGACCGGATATCCAGATAGGACCTGTCCTTGGGTAACAGAGGCAGAAAAGACAGAACAAGTTCAACCCAGTAAGGAGTGAGAATTTTCAGAATGGTAATGAGAAAAGGTAAAGGCTTTGGAGATGAGCACTTGAAGATTTCTCTGCAGTCTTCTTGCCTGCCCTTACATCCCTTGACATTCATGAGACTGATAGAAAATCCAGACCTTCTCAGTGAGACCTCTGTGTAGATTAGAGAAATATGCATTTTGAGACTTCTTTTATATATTAAGATTTAGAGTTCCCTCAGGGATCTATTATAGTGTCTCGTCTTCATCTTCCTCCATTCTCCACTTTTTCCTACATTTGTATCCTGCTGTGTAGTTAACTAAGGCTGTGAAGGCCTGGAATCAAATTCTGTGCTAAGGGTGATATAACTAGTACTGCTGTGGAATTAGTGTGGATTGGCTGATGTAGTTAGTGCAGGAAAAAGAAACTTGATTCAGTAAACCTTTCTACTACAAGGAACACATTTTTCCAGAGTACTTAAGTGGCTTAAAATCTTCATTTTTGTTTTCAAAATTTATGCTTCACTGAAAATGATAAGAGTTTGTGTTATGTTTAGTCTCCTCCAGTATGAGTGTGACACGAGGAGTGTGAAATTCAGTATTATATTTATGACCATTTCACTGAGTCTAGAAAGGATGATGAGTGTTATCTAGACTGGTTTTGTGTATGTTAGAATGCATATATATTACAAGCCAGGATAATCCAAATTATAACCTGTATATTTGACTTGGATTGCACCGCACAAGTTGCTGTTTCACTCTAGGAAGAGATGAGAACTGCTGTTTTAGCAGTAAACAAAAACTGCACGAATACTTGAATGGTTTCTTCTGTACTTGCTCTTTCTTTAATATAAATTTTCTTTGCAACCAGATAGGAGATAGTGGCCAAGCCTGATTAAGACAACTGTACTGCTGAGGTTGAGTCATTATATACTGTGGCTTTTACATTTTATATGTGGAATGTACCTGGATATTAAGTTCAGACTTATAAAGAGTGTCTGGTCAGAGGACTCGCTGGCCCAGCTTTTTGTATTTATTACTCTTTTCTCTGAGTTTTACATTAACAAAAAATGTCTTGTAAAATAAAGCAATACTGTGACATCTTGAACTGCTGTGCAGTGAAATACACAAAGCACAAACGCACATTGTGCCACTTCAAGTCATTTTAGAATTATAATTTAGCCCATAATTATAAAAGAAATGAAGCATGTTTCAGGTTGCATTGTTACTCAGTAGAAGTTGTCTTATGTGGATGGTGAACTCTTTTAGTAAAATATTTTCCTTAGTTCCTTTTTCTTCTTCTAGATCGTAGCAAAGCTGAGATGGATCTGAAAGAGCTGAGTGAGTCAGTCCAACAGCAGAGCACTCCTGTGCAACTGATTTCACCAAAACGACAGATACGTAGTAGGTTCCAGCTTAATCTTGACAAGACAATAGAGAGTTGTAAAGCACAACTTGGTAAGTGTATCTCAAGAATACACTGGGCATCTGAAGGACACACTTGAGGAAATTTTGAATTGGAGTTTAAAAGAAGTTTCTGAATAGTTAAACACTTAAACAAAAGTGTATAGAACATTTAAACTCTTTTGAGCAAGTAAAATGCACTGAACTAGTTGAATTTAAAATAACAGTGAGACCTGATGTTTCAAATTTTTGTCAAAAAGCCTTGGATTTTTAATCTTTTTTTGTATCGTTCTGATGTAGGGAGTATGACAGAATTATAGTCTTAGTGCTTGCTTTGTAAATGGAAAAAAATGGAACTGTACCTAACCTATGTCAGTTGCACAAATTAATATATATCCAGTCAGGCAGGAGCTGAATGCTGTTAAAAACATTAGTGGTGTCTAGCACTTTTGAAGACTTTTTAGGCACAAAAAAAATTATTCTTGCAAGACTAAACAGTCTAAAACTGACTCTGCAAACATGCATGCAGGTAACTTTAATCAGATGAACAGTGATTTTAAGGTGGTGTCTTTTGGATAAAAGTAATTCCTCTTTGTATTTGCCAGCATTGGTCCTAAGTTAACCCAAGCTACAGCTTGCAGGTAGTAGAAAAAGGAAGGCCACTGAAAGAAATAAAAATATGACTTGAAATATGTGGAAGGTAATTCTTTCTCTGGTATTGAGATAGGGTACTAAGGGAAGTGTTTATAGCTTAAAGGCTTGCAATTAAGATAATGGCATATATACACTTTGTTCCAGTATATAGAGTATTTCTTTTGTAATGTCAGTCAGTCTGATGTCAGCATGGAATGTGCTTTCCTCCCCACAATTAGGAATAAATGAAATATCTGAAGCTGTTTATACTGCAGTAGAGCACAGTGACTCTGAAGAGTCTGAAAAATCCGATACCAGTGACAGTGAATATAGTGATGAGGATCAGAAATCAAAGAACGATCAAGAAGATGGAGAAGACAAGGAGGGTGCAAGAAGCGACAAAGAATCATTAAGCTTGAAAAAAAAACCTAAGCTCCCAGCACAGAATGAAGACAAGGAGGACCTTAAAAGCACAAGTCCAGAAGTGGAAAAAACAGATGACCTGCTAAAAGAAAAGGCAATTACAGACACTGAAAAAGAATTTTCTGAGAAGGGAAAAAGTTTACAGCATCCTGCAAAAGAGAAACTGAGGGGGAAAGATGAAACAGACTCTCCAACTGTGCATCTAGGACTGGACTCTGATTCTGAGAGTGAACTTGTCATCGATCTAGGAGATGAACATTGTGGCCGTGAAGGAAGGAAAACCAAGAAAGAATCTAAAGAACCTCCTTCTAAACAAGATGGTAGGATATTTTTTCCTTTTTTTGTCTTCTGTACCTATAGCCTTTTATTGAAGGCAGATCTGTTAACTTTGCATTTGCTTTAAGATGTGCTAAAACAAATTTTGGATTATTTTTCATTCTTTTTGACTGTGAAAGAAGCTGTCAGTCCCAACTATATTTTCTGGTTTAAATGAAATTTGTTTAATTGACTTTCTTTTCAGCAATATAGAACTATGAATATCTGTGCCATTTGTTCTGTAACGAATTTAGAATTTATTTTGGAATTTTTGACTTCCAGTTGAATGCCATAGACCTCCCAAAATCACAGATATAGAAGAAATTTGGACTTGCCAAACATACAAATTGCATGAAGTCCCATTAAATTCAATGTAAATGCTCTCAGTACTAATCAAAATAACAGGTAAATCACACTTAGAGTCGCTGAGATTGTGTTCCCCTCTTAGCAACAAAGAGAAACAGTATCTCAGTTATGAAGTGCTTTTGCTTAGCTTGCTCTGCATGTTAACCTTTTGATAAAACAAAATAGAGAACCAGATTTAAATACATAGATTGAAAAATATTTTTTTTCATATAACTTTATCTTCTTGTCTATATTTCATAACATTTTGGCACAGTCATTTTATTTAAAACGATGTTTTCAATCAATTTACTAAGCATACTTTGGAAGACAGCTTAATGCTTCTGAATTGGACTCTTAAAACCAAATTTAATGGATGTTTTTATGAGGTAATCAAGAAAATAGGCTTATAAACTAAAAACAGAATTGAAATCTTGGGGGTGCTTACAGTGAGTGATGCTTGTTCTATTTAAAAATGTATTAAACAAGTCAGCTTTATGAATTTCAAAACCACTGATTCATGTATTACTAGTAGCCTAAAGTGCAGTGATGGTTGAAATAATAAGCAATCGGAACATGTTACTGTGATACAGAGGCAAAAGAATAATACAGAGTGAAATTGAAAGTAGATTTAAATATTCACACATACAGACTTATATTAATATATTCTATATACAAGATGTGGCCTATCCATGATTTCAAGGCCCCTACATTTACTTGTGACTAAGAAATATTAAAATGCCTGTCAGTGCAGCAGCCTTCTCTTTTAGACATGATTTTCCTGGTCAGTTCCTAAACTGATCTGATATGTGAAACAGTCAACCATGAACTCTGGAGGGTTTTTGAGTAAACATAGATATCTTAAATACATTTCACCTTTCATTACTAAGATTTTAATATGCTATTCCTTCAGTTATTGTTCAGCCTTGTTCCTTTTGAATGTACTTTTATCCAGAAATGAACTGAGGGGACAGGTGTAAATGGTAACCTAGAAACATGTTGACAAATGCTAATTTCTCCCATCTCTGCCAAAGGAGGTTAGGCTAGTTTTCTGGGTTTTGTGTTTTGTTTTGCATAATGGCTAGTACTTCTGAATGGTCACCAACTTCAACTATGCTGAAATGAGTTTACTTGGAATAACAGAATGAGCTTGCTTGTAGAATATCAGTCACCATTGAGGAAAAGAATGTAAAGGAGACTGAAAAGTGAATGTGGCTCTTAGAAAAATTAGATTAAAAATATGAATCAGGTATGTTGGTGAAGAGTTGGCATTACATTTTATGTTTGTTTATTTGTAGGTAAAGCTCCACCTTCCTCGAGTGCAAGCACCCAGCCTCTACCTGAAACTCCAGTACTTACCCGCTCTGCAGCCCAGACTCCACCAGCTGGTGTGACAGCAACTACTGGTGCTTCTTCTACTGTTAATGCTCCATCTGCAGCAACTGCCAGCCCTGTGAAAAAGCAGAGGCCTCTGCTGCCTAAGGAACCTGCCCCTGCCGTGCAGCGTGTGGTGTGGAATTCTTCAAATAAATTTCAGACATCTTCTCAGAAATGGCACATGCAGAAGGTGCAGAGACAGCAGCAACAGCAGCAGAGCCAGCAGTCTCAGTCACAGCAAGCCCAGTCCTCTCAAGGGACAAGATATCAGACAAGACAAGCAGTTAAAGGTATACACTTTGTAACTCAATCTGCCTGTGATACCATAATTTCCCAGTAGTGATCTCAGTGCTCCAAGGCTGCCTAACCACGAGTTCTTCCATATAAACAAAATCTTAAAGTATGGTTTTACTCTGATAAGTGACTTCAAAATACAACAACTTACTCTCACCATACCTGCTCTTTCTCATGTGTATTTAGAGTAATGTCTCCTTATTCTAATGAAAAAAGTTTGTGTATCTGTATAAATATTTTTTGCCATTCTTAGCCACCACAGATTTGGGAGAGTGAACTGAACTGAATGATTTTCTGGATTAGATGATAAAACCGTTAACTATTCTACTTGGATGATTACCACTGACTCCTCAGTATCTACAAACTGGATCCAGTTTTATCTGACAAGAAGCTGATCTGTATGTTTTTTCATAGAGTATAATTTGACAACAATTAAATTACTCAGGCTACATTTGTCTTTGAAATCCCTGTTGCTTAACTCTTTAACAAGACTTGCTAGTTCACTAAGCAAACAGCCACAGCATTTTAGAATGTTTTCAAAACCATTTCCTTAACATCCCTTTGCTGGAGGTTTCACCAGTAGTAGGCTCAAGGTAACCGAAGCCCATGCTTCACTTCACAGAACAGCAACTTTATGTAAATCTAGCTTCATTTGTTATGTCAAGATAATAAACTGATATGTTCACTGGTGTGCCTGATGAATAGATGTTGTCCATTCTGCTAACACTGCAGGCAACCCACTAATTTCATACAGGAGTGAGGTTTAGGTAATGGGGCAAATTCCTCTGGTCCCAAACTGCTTTAATGACTGCTTTCTATAAGAAGTGCTAAAGAGGCAGTATCTTTTTACTTGAAGACTGCACAAGTTTGGTACAGTACTAATCAGTGAGAAAAATAAATAGTGAAGTCTTATTTGTAGCAGAATCACAGTAAGAGCTTAATAGTACATTTGGAGTTCAGCCCCTGAGTTTGTTTTATCAGTATGTTTACTATTGAGCACATCATAGCAATGTTCCATCTTAAATAATATATTCTAGAAATGTACCCCATGAAAACCATGAATTCTTATATGCTGAATTGGTATAAGCAAAAATATAGTACATAAACTTAACTTTTTATTTTAGAGATTCCTGTTTTGAGGATATTGGCAGTGAAGACATCTTTTATAATAACATGAACTATTAAAAACAGATTGAAAATTATTGTCCTTAAAAAACACCTGTGTGTTTTTAAATACATATTTAAGGCAGATAAGTCTTTAGGGATAAAAAGGGTGAGGGTCTCTGGATTCTGATTTGTACTCTCACTTTTTCATTACCCACTGTTTAAGATTACTCAAACTATTGACTGAAAATTTTCCTTATTCTGTTTGAGTTAACACTGTGAATAACTTTTTTGCTATAATAAGTAAATTTAATATTGCATTCCTTGCTCTGCAGCCAACAAAGGCTAATATTGACATGGATATGTCTATATTAAACATGTGGCAACACTAATAATAATTAGTAGCATTAATAACAAGAAAATGGGAATAACACCAGGAAGTATTACTCAAGTAGGCTTTCTTCAACAGCAGCATAATAAACCTTGTTTCAAAGCAAAATAAAGAAATAAATTCAGGAATATGTTTCAAAATTATGGCAAATGAATATTTCAAAGTCAAACTTGTTGGATATGGATGGTATTATTTGGGAGTTCTCCAAATTGAGAGGTTAGAAAGTGAACTCCTAGGAAGTGGGAAGGAAAAGTCCCCAAATGGGAGGAATACAGGTCTGAGGGAGACTTTTGCATTGGCCAGTCTAAAATAATGTCTCAAAGATACATTGGCTTCATTACCTTACAATTATATACAAGTTCAGTGGCTGGGCACTGTATAATTAATTGCTTAAGTGGGACCACTGTGTAAATACTGTCTTTGAAATTGTTAGATGCACACATTGAAGTTAGATATCTAAGTTAGAAGTTTGCGTATTTTCATAATTGTTTGTGATTTATCTGCTGTACGTTCTCTTTCCTTAGCTGTGCAGCAAAAAGAGATCACCCAGAGCACTTCCACATCCACTATCACCTTGGTTACAAGTACTCAGCCTATTTCTATGGTTACCAGCTCTGGATCTGCAAGCACACTTTCTTCCTCTGTTAATACAGATTTGCCAATTGCAACAGCTTCAGCTGATGTGGCTGCAGATATTGCTAAATACACTAGCAAAGTAAGTTCTTCAGCAAGGTTGTCTTGACATTTTATTTTGAGGTGAACTTTCACATTTGTGACATTTCAAATTCTGGAAATAACTTTAAATAAAGGTTATCAAATGTTGCAAATTCATTCTACCATACTATGTAGGAACTGCTACATTTTGATCAAAATGCTCAACCATCTTTTTAGAGCTGGCTGAGCATTGCTGTTCCAAGCCAGAGTGTGGATATGATGGGCTTCAGCTGCTCAGACACCTTAGACCCTTTTCTTCTCATGTTTACCCACTGCTGCTGCTTAGTTATGTGTTTTTTTGGTTTGGACAATTTTCTGTGTTTTCTCCTAAAGGTGTAGGTATCCTGTCACATATTTACAGTAAACATTACTATTTCTTCATCTGTGTCCAGTTACACATATGCATGTAGTTTGGTTTTAAAACACTGCATAGCTTCATCAGGTGGTAATTAGTTATTAGTGTGTAATCATGTATTAAAACAGAAGTTAAGATATGGTGTGATATTTGTATCATAATAGTGACAGTGAGGAATGGGACATCAGCTTTACATGCTGTCTTAGCTCTTTAAAAAATCAAGGTGAATACTATATAAGGATAGTTGAGTACATTAAAAGCACCTGTCAACTTTCAAGGTTATCACTCAACCACATGGGGGTTTTTGTGGGGTTTTCTTCAGTTTTTTGCATGGAGTTGCTTCCCCAAAGTCATACTCTTTTGTTCCGTTGTTTGTATATTATATTGGTGGCAATTTCTTGGAGAAGCAGAAGGTCAAGCAGTTCAGCA